CACCTCTAGAATAAACCACCAGAAGTTTAGCTTTAGTTCTCTCTTCAGTTTTCTGGTGATAAAGCACCATATCGCTGGAATAAAACTAGTGCTCAGTGGAATATCTTTTGATTCTTCATCCTCACACTGTACACTCTAATCTCCAAATTTCAAAAGTCTACAGAAACAGATAGTAGATTTCTAACAGACCTTTTGTGAGTAAAATCTAGAATAAACCACCAGAAGTTTAGCTTTAGTTCTCTCTTCAGTTTTCTGGTGATAAAGCACCATATCGCTGGAATAAAACTAGTGCTCAGTGGAATATCTTTTGATTCTTCATCCTCACACTGTACACTCTAATCTCCAAATTTCAAAAGTCTACAGAAACAGATAGTAGATTTCTAACAGACCTTTTGTGAGTAAAATGACAAACTGAAAATAGAAGAATGGTGGTTTATAACAAACAACTGTGTAACATTTGAGTTGCTTTTCACTATGAAAGATGTTTACAGTCAAAGAAAGGATTAGTACTTCTTAGAAGTACTTAGAGAAAATTCTTTAGCCACCCAAACGGAATTTTACGAAGTGGGATTAAAGTAGGGAATGTGGGAAGCTGGTAATGCTACAAAGAGTGAGCTAAGGATTTGGGGGATATTGAAACTATACTTTTCATAATTTTACATAATTTTGTTTATTTGATGTATTTTTACTTTTGACACAAATTTCCTCAATTACATTTTCTAAAAAAAAAACAACCCCATATTGTTGTGGGAATTTTGTTGCTGTTGTTTTTCTCTACAGTTATTGATATAAATTCTCAAGAACAGCACAGCAAAGAGTGTTTGTCTGTGCATATGCTCTCTAGGTTTTCTTTGTTGTATAGCACTAAGCATTAAACATCTTGGGTGAGATCTAGGATGCACTGATGTCAATGGGTGTTTTATCACTGACTTCAGGATTTCACATCTTGTTTCCAAATTGGGAAGGTAATATACAAAATGGGGTAAGTAAATGACAAAAAGAAGAAAGCTCTCTTATTAAATTAACTTTTTATTCAATATGAATTATTTAATGCTGTTCTTATTCCACACAAGTGATGTTTAAGGGAAACTTCTAAGGAGTTTAGTGGAGGCAGAAACAGGATTTTTTTTAAAAAAAGCTTGTGGATAAACACAGGTACATGTTTCTCTCTAGCTTTCTCCATCTCTCCCACCCCCTCTTTTCTTACCTCTCTTCAAAGTAAAAAAAGTAATTACATTGCCTATAGTGCATAATAATGTGAAGTAATAGCAGAGGTAATAGAATCTTTGGGTCTTTTGAGAACAAAATTTTCATTACATAGGAAAAGGCTGAAAAATACTGTTTAAAGTTTCTTATCTGGAACTCAGACAATCTTTCCATTCTTTATACACTGATGAAAATGTCTGGGGAAAAAATCTCAGACACTTGACTTTGCATGAGTAAAACTAAGCCAACCTCCCCACTCCAAACTTATTTAAAACATAGTACAGGCAGTCCCCGGGTTACGTACAAGATAGGGACTATAGGTTTGTTCTTAAGTTGAATTTGTATGTAAGTCGGAACTGGCTCCAGATTCAGCCACTGCTGAAACTGATCAGCGGCTGACTACAGGAAGCCCTAGGCAGAGTTGCTCTGCCCCCGGCTTCCTGGAATCAGCGGCTGATCAGTTTCAACAGCGGCTGAATCTGGACTCCTGGGACAGAACAGCTGCGGCACTGCCGGGTAGGTCCCCGCAGGACCAACCCGGCAGCACCCCAGCTGCTCTACCCCAGGCGTCCCACAACAAAAGCCTGGTCTGCGGGGGGGGGGGGGGGGGCGCACTAGCTGCGCCCCCTCCCCCCCCAGCAGACCAGGGAGACCTGAGCAAAGCCGCGGAGGTGCGCAGAGATCCCGCCGCCTCTGCGGCTTTGCTCCTGTCTCCCTGCTGTGCACACCCCCAGCACCAGTCCCCCCCAGCACACCAGGGAGACCCGGAGCAGCTTTTCTCGCCCCGGAGGACGCAGTGGCGGGACCGCTGCACTCTGGGGGGGTCCCGCCGCCCACGAGCTCCGGGGCGCGAAAAGCCCCGTTCGTAAGTGCGGATCCGACATAAGTCGGATCCGCATAAGTCAGGGACTGCCTGTAATAAATTCTACTTGATTTTGCAACTTTCGATTAAAAAGACTAGAAAAAATATAGTGATTAGTATGACAAATGAAAAGCTTGATTTGACTTCTACTACTGGCTAATTATTCAATAAAAGTATTCACAGTACAGGCTAAGAGATCAAAGACTCCCACAGTTAGTTTTGCCTCACAGAACCACGGGATCCAACAGAATTGTAAGTTCATCATTTTGAATAACGCTTGTCAGTAAGGAAATAAACACTTACATTAGGTCTCAATCCTGCTGCCATTTCGTAATACTTCTCCGCTGCTTCATTGAGACTTGCTTGTCTATTGGTGCAGAGAAAAACAAAACAAAATTACACTTAGTTTTTCTTAGGTAAATATTGGGAGGATGCAGATGTATTTGCTTCCGCCATTTGAAAATATGCTATTACCAAACACCAGTATAACTATTATTTTATTTTTATACCTCAGAATATCAAGTCTCTATAATGAAATGCTCTTTTTAGATCTTATTCAGATTTTAATTCTAATAAGACTGTGGGCCAGATGCAATAGATCAGCGGGTGCAAGTTTATGGTTCTCTCTCAGGTCATACCAGCTGAAGATCTGGTACAATTTTGTAAAATTATACTTCAATATATGCCAGAGTTTGGTTTGTAATGAAGTAAATCATGTTTTATTCCATTCCAAGAATACAGGAATATGCAGAAGGACAACCAAACAAGCTGAAGTAATGCCAGGCAGGTTGTCCTTTTCAACATTAACATTTTGGTTATTACAATCCTTAATGTTTGTCAGAAGCTGCAAATGAGTAATAGTGGAGGGATCATGTGATAATTACCTGTTCTGTTCACTTTGGCTATGTCTACGCTACCATTTTTTTCCTGCAGAAGATATGCAAATAGCTCTCTCATTTGCATATCTTCTGCCAATCCTTTTTGCGGAAGAGGTTTTGCCGATAAAAAGTCTTGTGTAAAAGGGGCCATTTGTCGAAAAAAACCTTTTTCGCAAGATCCCTCATTCCTCAAAAAACGAGGTTTACAGGATTTTGTGAAAAAGGGTTTTTTCCCCCTGACAAATGGCCCCGTCTACACGGGGCTTTTTATTGGCAAAACCTCTTCCGCAAAAAGGATCATCAGAAGATATGCAAATGAGAACACAATTTGCGTATCTTCTGCCGAAAAATCCCTGCAGTGTAGTTACAGCCTCCCTCTGGGGCATCTGGAATTGGCCACTGTTGGAAGACAGGATACTGAGCTAGATGGACCTTTTGTCTGACCCAGTAAGGCCATTCTTATGTAAACCAAACATAAGGACAAATGCAGTATGCTTTTTTGTGCTAGGAGTTAATAATAGGCTAATTATAAAAGGAGCTCATGTGTCTTATTTGTAGATGCCTCACTCTTGACAGGGGACTGTTGGCATGTTTGTCTGTGAGGGAGCTAGAGATGCATTCTTTGTTAAGTTCATATTCTTATCCTGTAGCATACTCTCTTGCCACTTTTAGACAATGGAAGAGATAGGGAGAGGAAAAGGATAATATAAACTCAGATTTCATCATTTTTTCCAGATTTCCAATCCGCTTGTAAGTTCAAGTGGCATTATTTAAGTGAGCCCTTGAATCTGCAGGTTTATAAGGTTTTTCAACTGTTTATTGTTCAGGGATCATCGATTGCAGGTGTTAAACCCCCATTCAAATTTCCACTGGAGTTCTGAAAATTAACCACACAATGTGTTATTGGCAATTCATTCCAATCAATGCATTTTGATAGACAGTTATTGGTCTTTGGAGTAGAATGGAGGAAGGAAAATCCTTTTGAAGTTTCACATAGGTTTCAAGCAAGTTGAAACCATTTCCTTACAAACAGTTTGCCAAAGGAAACCCAGTTTATACCCATCAACTGTTTTAAATTACTGTGCACATTTATCAGCTCAGTGGTTGAGTGGTTAGAAGTGAGTGTCTAAAAATATTCATGTAATACACTTCTGAAACACTCCTGCTGGGTTTCAGTCAAAGGGATGTTGTGGCACTTAAAACTTCTGAGCAAAAAGCTAAATTTCACAACTTAGTAAAAGACAAGTAAAACTGAATGCATCACGTAGCTCTCATTTCACAGGTCAGGAAATACAACAATCCTAAATGCAGCAAATTTCTGTACAATGTGCCTTGCCCAGGAGGCAAAGAAAAAAAGCCACATTTCCCTTCTGAAAGAATTGTTTGCATATGAACATTAAATGGATTGAAATTCGTGTCTCTCTCACCAATTGGAAATATATTTGTAGAAGGAAAGAGAGTAAAGTATCTTGAAACATGGATCATTAATTTTCAACTTGAAATCAATTTGAATTTATATTTCTTTATTAAAAATTGTTTTTATAAATGTATTTAATCCATACTAATCTTGTGAGGAAAATGCAAGTTCCATTACTGGAGCATTCATAAACAGTTCCTGCAGCTAAGGTACAGGAGAGTTTTGATTCACATTCTCACTGGAAATCTAAACTAGAATTCATTATGTTAAGCCCTGGAATGGTTTCCCCTTGAGAATAATAAAGACATGGAGGTAGGAAATTGCAGTAACCCTACGCCACTAAGCAGCAAATGGCTCTGGATCAATGTCAAACAATGGAAAGGTTCCACTGGAGGAAGCATAACTTAGAGAAAAATACTAGATACAACAGTGATAAGAATAAAATACAAGGGAGGAAAAGGAAGCCAGGAAAAACTGATGAATTCCTACAGAAGAAAGACTGCTTTCAATCATTATAAACGATATCCTCGGCTTTCCGTGGGTGCTGACCTTGAAAGGAGACCTGACTTCTGCTGTTTGAATCCTAAAGCTTATGCTAACTATCCTAGCAAACCACGAAATACAAATATTTGCTCCCTTTTAAACTTAACTTGCTGTCTAGCATTTAGATCCTGCTCAGAAGAAGCCCTTAAACTGAGCCCTAGACCAGTGATACTCTGAGGCATCTAATGTCTCCTGGAGCTCTTTGCAGCATGTGATATTAAAACACTGTGAAATGTAATTAATGTAATTTGGCTCCTGAACCACGGAGGTCTGAGCATCACTGCACTAAACCTATTGGCTCTTATACTTAATGTCACAGACTCACACTTCAGCGCCAGAAGGGTCCATTGTGATCATCTAGTCTGACCTATTGCACATTGCAGGCCACAGACCCTCACCCACCCACCCACTCCTGTAATAGACCTCTCACCTCTGGCTGTATTGCTGAAATCCTCAAAATTATGGTTTAAAGACTTCAAGTTAGAGAGAATCCACCATTTACACTAGTTTAAACCAGCAAATGACCCATGTGCCCTACAGCAGAGGAAGCCAAAAAACCCTCCAGGGCCTCTGTCAATCTGATCTGGGGGAAATTCCTTCCTGACTCCAAATATGGCAATCAGTTAGACTCTGACCATTTGGGCAAAACCCACCAGCTGGACACTTGAGAAAGAGCTATCTATAATAAAATCGGGATTAACCCCATACAGTGTCAATCGACCACCTATGATATCTCACAGTTGGACTTGACTAAGTTTGATTCATAAGTTCTATGGATACCCAAATGAAAGAAACAATTCAAGGCTGCTTCATTTAAATTATGTTGCTAATCAACCCTTTAAAGTTAAAAAAAAAAAGTAATTTGTCAATAAAATGGTGATTATACTTGTCTAGACATGCAAATATTTCAGTGGGAAGAAGGACTGTTCACATCTGTTGTGTTATATGAAGCCTTGAACTACCAGCTCCTGGTTTTAAGTGAGAATCTGCCATCTGCCTCACTAAAGAGAAACGGAACATCTATGTAAGGAAAAATAATCTAGAAAGCCAGAATTTGGAACCAAGTCTTAATTCTGAAATGAAACTTTTGGAGCCAGAATAGAATCATGGTTGGACTGTAAACATTTCAATCTTCATCCTAATTTTATTTATGTCATACAAGCACCCTCCATTATAAACCCTTGTCTTCAGTTTCTTATAACTTTGTCAAGCTTTAATTGTTTAGGCTACATTTTGCATGCTAAGCATCAGGCCTCAGGCTGAAGTTATTTTCAAACACACAGGCACAAAATTGGAGAGGTGCAGAGAGCCTACAGCTCATGTTGTGTCCTAAAGGCCCTGAACCTACAATGAGCCTTAGATAGGCACTTCTGTGCCACTAAAATCAAGAACCCCTAACTATTACAGAGCTTACTGCAAATAGAGGGTCTTTGTTAGGAAACATCAATTTGGCTGTTGAATGGATATTAGCTATTCTCTAACTCTGAGGTCTCCAGAGAAAGAAAGAGAAATAGCGACTCCAGAGTGCGTGTCTACATTGCAAACAGTGGTCAATGCAAGTTATATTGCCATACAGCCACCAACGTTTGTACATCACTCGGGCACAGGTTTATATGGCTGCTTGCATCCACCCTGTGCTGAGTCACCAGACATTCTTGTCTTGGGGCAAAGTGTGGTGAACCGTAGATAGGTATCCCAGAGTGTCACATGCTACCATCCATCGCAATGATTTTGGGGAATTTTTTGCAATGTGTTGTTGGATAGACATGACTCACCTGAAAATCCCTCGGAGTCAGTTTCCCAGAATGCAACTTTCTCCAGCTCAATGTCAGACATATCTCCTAATTTTTATACCATTTTTTAAAAAATCCCACAAATGCGTGCAACACTTGTCTGCCATCGCTGACAAAAGCATGGAGTCTGCAGAACCTACACTGTTCTCATAAATGTTGCAAACACAGGACCCACACAGTTCTTCTGTTTGAAGATCATCAAGGACTACTGTAACAATGAAGGGCAATGCAGTTTCTTCAAGGACAGTTTGCTGAGGAACACAATGAAAAACTATTCAAGGTTGCTGCTGGCACTGATGGAGCAGCTGAAGATGGTGGAGTGCTGTTTCAGGGCACAAGAAACAACTGGAGGGAGCACACTGTAATGCACATTTGAGATGAAAAGTGCAGAACTTTCAGATGTGAAAAACCATATTCCTGAATCTGTGCTCAGCACACCCAAGCACAGTGACTCCAGACAGAGAGCTGCACCGACAGTGAAGAAGTGAGTGGGGATCGCACTCTGAAAACATGGAACACCAGATTGTCACCTGTCTGTGGGAAGTCCTTATGGAGCTAGAAAATCCACATAGGGGCTCATGCCACACAAGTGTCCAGGGCTATTAATTGTCTCCTGCTCACAGGATTTTGATTCTAGACAATGTGATGGATTTACAGCAATGGGATTCCTGAACTATTGTTCAGCACCAGCCTACCTTCCTACATAGTACATTAACAAAAAAAAGGCTACTTTTCTATGGTTAGCATGCACTGGTGGATCACTGGGGACACTTCACTAATATCTGTGTATGCAGATGAGGGAAGGTGCATCATGCATGACAGGAACACAAGACTGTTCAGAGAACTACAAGCAGGAACACTCTTTTCTGACTGATTACCATTGGTGATACTAAAATGCCAGTAGTGATTTTAGGGGACCCAGCTTCCCCCGGCTCATGTAGCTATATACTGGCCACCTCGACAGCATCAAGGAAATATTCAACATTCTGGCACAGAATGACTGCTGAAAGTGAACTGAACTGATGCTGGCATTGTTTACTAAGTAGATTGGATCTTAATGAGAAAAATATTCCAATAATTACAGCTGCTGTTATGCCCTGAATACTATTTGCACGGCAAAGTTGTTGCCTGGAGAGCAGTGGAGTGGCTGTCTGCTGACTTAAAAACAGCCAGGTACAAGGATCATTATAAGACCCCAATATTAAGGTATGCAGTTGAGGAAGGCTTTATAAGAGCATTAAGAGTAATCCATATTAGTGTTCTGTGCTGGCATGTGCTCTGGTGCTGGAGCTTTGGGTACTGCTAAGAATCGTGTAGTGTTCGCTGTACATTTATAAATGTGACTAGGTATTTTGGGGATGCTATGAATTATGCACTTGTAGTACATGTATAAGTACTGTCTGCTGTGAGTAACAATATGCATTTGCAATATGTGATGAAAACTAATAAAGATAGTTTTAGTCTCCAAAAGTAGAATTTTATTCACTGGGGGAAACAGTGCAGAAAACAACATGCAAAAAGTCCCTGAGCTAAGTAATACACACTTTTCACAAACTGGAAAGGAAGCAAATATCTGTCTATTGTGGGACAGCTGCTTGGGGACTGTTAGGATTGATACAGGTCATGCAATGTTTTCACTCACACTTTGTTGATCCCAGTATGTCAATCTTGGCTGCATGCCATTCAGGGAGGTAGGATTACTGCACTGGTGTAACGGGGCATGTATGTTGGCCAGACACAAATTTGATTGGTGACTAACATTGACCTAACTTCGTAGTTTAGGCCAGGCCCTACGAGTAGGGGAATAACATTTTACTCTAGGGCAATAAAGGGCAACGTCAACACCTCAGGAGTGCATTCAAAGATGCCAGTGAAAGGATCAGAGGTGCAGCTAGGCCTGTAAAGGTGACAACACTATTGTACCTTGATGGTATACCTTTGTCCCTTTCATGCTCTATGTACCTAACTTCCTAAGCTTGATTTTCTTCATTATTCTAAAGTTTAGATGAATTACTCTGGGCATGTCCATGTCCTAACGAGGAATATAAATTAGAAAGCAAGCAAGAGAAATAAAAGGATCCTTAAATTAATGCATGTTGGTGCTGGTGTTTGGGATAATCTTTGATTAACAACTGTACATTTGTTTTGGTTTCCTTTACTCATGTACAATAAATGAGTCTCTCTTTCTAACAATCTTTTAAAGGCATTTTGGGGCATATTGCAAAATCCTGCTACAGGAACCTTCAGTTCAGTTTGGAAAGTAGGTCTCTTAATTAAGAGCTTATTCTGCCTTCTTTTTCAAGTTATTTCCTTTTTCATTTTGTATTTGTACATGTCAAAAATATAACGAGTAAATTATGAGAAGTCCATTAATATAATTGTTCTAATGACAATTCTGTGCTAGTTGAATGTATTTACTCAAAAACACTTCCCTTATTTATGTACATTATAAGGGGCATATTTTCTAAAGCAAGATATAGCATAACCCAAATCATTTGTGTTCAGTCATTGCTCTTCCTTTTAGGCACATAAGCAACAGATTCATTATATATTTATCCTACAAATAAAGCCAGAAAGTAATATAGTAATGTGGGCTTAACATAAGTGTTTAGGTAGAAGCTCAAAGTTGCTGAATGTCAAGGTGTATTGGTTGTAAATGCAAGAGAAAAAACCTCTACAGTTTCAAATAGCAGAACAAAATTAAACACAAGATTGCCTCTGAATGAAGGAATTCAGATAATATCATTAATCACTCCTGTATTTCTCTAAGTCTCCATAACTCTAGAGACTGATATTTAGCCTTCTAATCAGCTTGCTACTCCCTAATGATATTTATATCATATTCTTTGGTATTTCCAATACTCTCAAATTACAGTCAGAGCAACAGAGTTCTCTTCTTTCATTTACAGTCACTCTATTTTTAATGACTCAAGTAAAAATAATTTAAAGGGAAATGTTGTTGAAGATACTTTAGGAAAAAGATATATTGTTCTCATATACAAGCAAAGAGGATTACATGCTTGTGAAAGACAGAAATTTCTGCAGTAGTGAATAAGAACATAAGAACGGCCATACTGGGTCAGACCAACGTCCATCCAGCCCAGTACCCTGTTTGCCAACAGTGGGCAATGCTAGGTGCCCCAGAGGGAGCGACTCGAACAGGTAATGATCAAGCGAGCTCTCTGCTCCCATCCATTTCTACCATCCGACAAACAGAGGCTAGGGAAACCATTCCTTTCCCACATTGGCTAATAGCCATTCATGGACTTCACCTCCATGAATTTATCTAGTTCTCTTTTAACCCCTGTTTAGTCCTAGCCTTCACAGCCTCCTCAGGCAAGGATTTCCACAGATTGACTATGAGCTGTGTGAAGAGCTTCCTTTTATTTGTTTTAAACCTGCTGCCCATTAGTTTCATTTGGTGGCCCCTAGTTCTTATATTATGGGTACAAGTAAATAACTTTTCCTTATTAACTTTCTCCTCACCACTCATGATTTTATATACCTCTATCATATTCCCCATTAGTCTCCTCTTTTCCAAGATGAAAAGTCCCAGTCTCTTTAATTTCGCCTCATATGGGACCTGTTCTAACCCCCTAATAATTTTAGTTGCCCTTCTCTGAATCTTCTCCAATGCCAATATATCTTTTTTGAGATGAGGAGACCATATCTGTACACAGTATTTCAGATGCTGGCGTACTATGAATTTATATAAGGATAATAAGATATTCTCCATCTTATTCTCTATCCCTTTTTTAATGATTCCTAACATCCTGTTTGCTTTTTTGACTGCACACTGCATGGATGTCTTCAGAGAACTATCCACAATGACTCCAAGATCTCTTTCCTGATTAGTTGTAGCTAAATTAGCCCCCATCATATTATATGTACAGTTGGGGTTATTTTCTCCAATGTGCATTACTTAACATTTATCCACATTAAATCTCATTTGCCATTTTGTTGCCCAATCACTTAGTTTTGTGAGATCTTTTTGAAGTTCTTCACAGTCTGCTTTGGTCTTAACTACATTAAGCAGTTTAGTATCATCTGCAAACTTTGCCACCTCACTGTTTACCCCTTTTTCCAGATCATCTGGAGAATATGTTGAATAGGATCATCAACAGAATATGTTGAATAGGATTGGTTCAAGTACTGACCCTTGGGGAACACCACTAGTTATCCCTCTCCATTCTGAAAATTTACCATTTATTCCTACCCTACAAGATTGCCTCTGAATGAAGGAGTTCAGATAATATCATTAATCACTCCTGTATTTCTCCATGAAAGGATCTTCCCTCCAAAGCCTGTACGCAGTCTGAGGGGCCAGGAATTCCTTGCACCAAATGCACATATCCGCCACCCGCCCATAGGGCAGGTAATCGTACATGCTACGCAGAATGCAATAAACAGATAGCCCCCACTCTGCTGCTGGGCTTCTGCCTGCATTCTCTCCTACAGCTATCTAGGTTACTGATAGGGTTTCTAGTTAAATCAGGAAGTTTTGATTAAAACCTTTAAATTAAACTATAAAGAATGAAAAGTGTACCCTGGCAACTTCCCACTCCCCTTCCCTACTCTCTCTCTCAAAACTCCCTGTTTGCTGCTCCTGTTCGCAAAGCTCCCTGGTCACTGACTCACTGCTTTATAAAGCCCTGACCTGCCTGATAGCCCTGCCCCCTGACTAAGGCTGTGCCAATTAACAAAGGCTTCTACATTTCAAAACTTTAGAAGCTCACAGCTTCCAACTGCCAGCCACAGCACACGCTCCTTCAAACAAACCAACCAACCAACCAACCAACCAACCAACCAACCAACCAGAGATGTAAAATACAGAAAAGTTAAAAATAGACTCTGCAAAAGTTTCACTCCATTTCTTCTTCCTTATTAGTTATAACAAAGCTTCCAAAAGAGATATTTGGCTTAAAAAAAAAAGTGCTGTAAGAAAATACTGCAGTTTGGGGTTGAGAGAAAAGAGAAGAAGAAAGCCAATAAATTAGAGAACTAACCTGAGCATATGGGCTGCATTGAAGACAACATCAAACTCTGAATTGTCAAGCTCAGCGGCCTTCTTTGCCATTTCAGCTGCTTCTATCAGACGGGATTCTTCTAGAAGAAACTGACCTGTATCGAGGACATGTATGTTATCTCAAAGGGATGGAAGCAAACAGTATGTTGGATAGTGACACACCTGAAAAATCAGTCACCAACTACATAAGAAGCATATTCAATATATATTTATCCTACAAATAAAGCCTGGAAACTAATACAATGTGGGCTTAATGGAAGTGTTCAGATGGAAGCTCAAAGTTGCTGAAGTCAAGATGCATTGCTTTTAAATGAAAGAAGCAGCCCTCTAACGTTTCAGATATCAGAACAAAATATGTTCTGGAAAAGAAAAATTGTATGGAAGACTCTGGGTGTGAGGGGCGCAGTGGGGTGCTGAGGAAGTGTGACCTGGGATCCTGGCACAAGGGGAGGGGCTCATCAGCGTAGGGGCTGAAGTGAGGTAGAGGTCTGGGTGCAGGGGGTGAGGCTTGCTGAAGTGGGGGTTTGGGTGTGGAGGACTTGGTGCATAACTTCTGGGTATAGAGGGGGGAGATTCAGCAGAGGGGTTTGGGTATGGGTGGGTCTGGATGCAGAGGGGTTGGGTGCACAGGAAAGCAGCTCCTCATACAGTGACTCCTTCCCCCATGGATGTGCAGTGATGGAGGCAGGAAACTGAAGCTAGGAGGAGGAGAGTTTCCTGCAGACAGGGTAGGTTTCTGGGGGTGGGTCTGACATGGTCTCAGCTGCTCCTTGTAGTGGAAGAGGAAGTTCTGACCTTCCTAATTCCTCCATGACTAGTAGGTGAGCTGGTTAGAAGCCTCCAGCTTGTGTGGACCCAATGCCTGCCAACCCCATTATGATTTACCTCTCTGATCCAGAACCTGAAACAATGCACCCATATATGCCAGAGAGGGTGAGTGACTGCTCTTGCAGCTTCCCTTTGCTTCCCTGTCAGAAAATAGTTTTTCTGCAGGGAAGCAAAGAAATCTGTGGGGGACATGAATTATATGTTCGCGCTATGGTGTCGAATTTCACCAGGAGTAAAATTATTTACACACCTGTCCCTCACAAAACCTTCCAACGTTATATATCTATGTTTTATGACTATACGCTAATAATGCTGCACAAGTAACTGAATATTCAGTTCAGATGTAGGTCTGAAAAAAATGAACCCCAAATGAAATGTTTTTCAGAAGATTTTTATAGGTTATTAAACTTTTTAAAGATAAAATTGAAGAAAATCCTGAAATAAACCCTCTTTCTGAAATGAAAAAAGTCAAAATATTTTGATATGGAATTTAAAATATTTTCATATTTCCAATTTCCATTCTCTCCCCAAAAAAGCAAAACAATTTGCTGAAATTGACTCAGTTTAGGAAATTATGTCAAATGACATGAATACGCATTTTTCTGGCAAAATAAGTGTTTGCGTGAAAAATTTCATCCAGCTCCATATGTCAAGACCACATGCATTATTTTATGTTATGTACCAATTATTCTTATGTAGGCTACACAGTAACAAATACTAACATTAAATTCCCAAATGATAAGAAAAGCTGGACCAAATTTTCCATCCTCTCACAGTCCAGCTTTTAGACACACAAAGCGATTAGGAATAGGTCTGATGGAAATAAACTAAGATTGTTGGTTAGATGAATGAGAATGAGCTAGGACAGCAAAACAGAGTTAAATCACTGGACCAATTTCTTTTCATTCTAAAAATCCATCCATCATACTCCAGATAACCTGGACATGGCAGAAGAACTGGAATTTGACTACATATTATTCCTAGAACTAAAATAGTATTTTCTTAGTAAACTGCCCAGCTTAAGTTTTCACGAAAGTACATGTTGCAATTTAAATGGAAAGGTAAGGTAAATTATTATAATGATGTGCAGCTGTTTCTCCCCAACTGCTTTTCTTTCTAGAGATGATACAGATGGAAAATGGAAAACGTTCTTTTTTTTCCCAGGAAAAGTTTTTTCCAGAATTACCAAGTCAACTTCTATCCTACATACACCATGTTAAAATTTCCTAGCTTCAGTCATACAAACATGCACAAATAAAATAGAGTTAGCAATCACTAGATCTGTGATACACTTGTCAACAATATTAAAACTTATGCACACTCAAGAAAACTCTAAGTGAGGAAAATATTTCTCTCTTTCCGTTATTATCATTATTTATCATTTAAACAGCACCCATGTCTGCTATGTCTCTTTGTGGTCATAAGCTAGATCCCTGAAGAATTTACAATCTTATCTCGACAGGATGTACACAAAAAAGTTAAGAAAACAACATGAGATTTTACACTTTCGAATCAGTCTTTACATTTAAAAATACATATATTCCAAAAGCCAGATGGGACTACTGTGATCGTCTATTCTGACCTCCAGTGCAACAGAATCTATAGTACTTCCCCAAAATTATACCTTTTGAACTAGCGCATCTGTTTATAGAGTGCATATTCCATTTTCTGGGTTTGCAGTATGTATGTCTGTATATATAAAACCTGATGAATGGGCTGCAATTTGTAGAAGTTGCTCAGCTGCAACAGGATTGTATTTTCCCATATCATTAAAATCATATTTTCCCTAAATATTATACATACATCCTACTGTGTGTTACTCAAGGGAAAGCTAAGGTGTTCTATTCCAATATTCCATGGATAAAGTACATTTCAATTTTTATTAAGCTTTAATTAGTACCATTTTTCAGCTTAATGTGGTTGTTAATGACTAATAAATGTATTCCTTTAGCTTTACAACTATAAAAGCTATCTCACTGAAAACACGAGTGTTCATATCCCTTGAATGGTTATTTTATCACTTATTACAGCATTAATCAGAATCATGGCAAGCATCTTTCTTTTTCCTACAACAGTTTTTTGTATTCCCCCCCCCCCTATTTCTCAAGTAAGGTAAGTAGTTAAAATCAGGAGACTGATTTTACAAAGTAGAATGAGTAGATTATACAATGCAGATGTCAAAAGCTTGGTTCATACTGCTAACAACAACAAATTATAGACAGAATTAACACTAAGACATAGCAGTAGCTTAAGGGCAACAACATTTTAATTATAAAATACAAAAAATAAAAAATGAGAACCAGAAGAGCTCCAGAAAAATGAGTAATACTTGGGAATTAAACAAACTTGAGAAACTGCTCTAACAGTTTCTTTACTCTGTGCTCTATAACAGTCTTTGCACATCTGCTTTATAAAGGTGTGCTATTTTTGGATCAAGGACTTTGCAGTGGATTTTAAATGTTTACAATCTATGCTTACATACATCTTAAATTTAGAATAACCACTGTTAGGTACAGTGACTATACATTCAAACTTCCCTGTCACATTCTGGGTTGCAAGAAGAGATCAGTGAGGGATTGTGCAAGAGCCTGCCCCCTACATATTCCCAGTTCCAGATTTTCCCCAGTACTTGTTCTGCAATGTCCATCCCTTCTCCTGGGAGTTGAAATATTAAGCTTCGATGCCCCATGCAAAGAATCAATATTTAACAGCTTGTTACATTAACTCAAGTTACCAAATAATTCGCTTCAAGCACAGCACTGGATTGGTTTAGATAAACAATAACACAAGTTTAATAACAAAAGAAGATAGGGTTTTAAGTGAATTCAAATATAAGAGCTAAAATTAGAAATTGTTACAAGCAAATAAAAGTGAAAACATGCACCTAAAAATCTAGAACCTAATCTAGCAAGTTTAGGTTCAACATGGCCTCTGTCACTGACTGTCTTCCAAAAGAAAAGATAATCTTTTCCTGGTCAGGAGCTCTCCCAGAGATCCAAAGATGCTGGCACCTTTGTCTTCTTAGGTAAAAGTTTCTTATCTGAAGCAGGTTTCCCATCTATAATCATTTCCTGAGACTTCAACTCCCTCCTGTTTGAAGAGCCCATTTTTTTCTCAGCTTGCAAGAGCTCTGACCTCTTGTGTCTGCTTAGTGATGGATGCGTAAAGATGGTTTCTGTCCTTATTTACATCTTCCAAAGCTGAATGAACACGTTATAAGAGGCAGGATGACCGTATGCTATTCTTCCCTTTCTGTGGGCTTCCCATCTCTGATATGATTGCTATGTAAGTGGAGTTTCCACTGTGTTTGATTCCACCAGACTTAATGTACACAGAGGATGAGCAGATAATAGCTATGACATCCACTTCTGTTTGAGCAGACTATACAGCCTAATATCAATGAGTATCTATAATTCCTTGTATAGTGTTAATACATACAATTCACAATGATATTAATTACTAGTGTGTCATTAGCTTTCCGGAAAGACTTGAGTTTCTACAAAAAACAGGGCTGTGTAGCACTTTAAAGACTAACAAGATGGTTTAATAGGTGGGTCTGGCCCACGAAAGCTCATCACCTATTAAACCATCTTGTTAGTCTTTAAAGTGCTACACAGCCCTGTTTTTTGTTCCAGCTACACCAGACTAACACGGCTACATTTCTATCACTATTCTACAACCCTCCTACACATCCAGAATGCCTGAAAATTGGAAAGTTTTTCTGTCTGGGCCAAAAAATGAAATATTTCAATTAAAAATGGCTCCACAGTGCCTATAAGGTGTTATAATTCAGGTGTTTGCTGTTCCCATTCTTGTTTATCAGCTGGGCTGTTTGGCAAGACTATATCTCCCATGATGCACTATGGTGCACCCGCCTTCCATAATCAAGAGGGGGAGAAAGTGGTGCATCATGGGAGAGGTTGAGAGCCCATTACATAAAGGCACTGAAACTATACATTCTATAAAGTACAAAAGTGCCATTTTGAATCAAAATATTTTGGATTTTGGCCAGAAGGTTTCAGTTTTTGATATTCCATTAAAAAGTCAAAACGTTTACAAAGAAAAAAAAATTCCCTTGGATTTAACCTGATACGATCTCTGCTTTCCTGACTCAGACTCTGACTCCTGTTTACTGGACCTGGCTTTGTTATTCCTCCACCTCCTGCCTGGATACAGTCAGATTGGATACAATCATTTATTTGAATTGCTTATCACTTCCCTCCTCATCCCCACACCCAACCACCCCTTGACTAGTAAACCTTTGAAA